GCTGGTGAATTTAGATTTGGGTCCCCAGAAAGTTAAAAGCCATATGGGTGTGGTCAGGCAGGAAAAACAACCAAGGTAAAGGCTGGGGACATTCTGGATTCTAGACCTGACTTGGCCACTGTCTACCTCGCTGTATGATTTGGGGCTGGTCATCTAAACTCTGGGCCTTAGGTTCCACAGCTGAAAGTGTTGGATTTAAGTGATCTAAAGTCTCCTTCAGTTCTGAAACTTCTGATTTTACCAACTCTTGGTGAGTAGGAAGTTTGTAGGCTTTGAGAAGAAGCTGACGCTGCTCTAGGCAAAATGGATCTGTGGGTGTTTGTTTTTCAATATCCTTCTCTTTGTTCCCTCTTCTATTCAAATACCCAGCTACCTACTTTCTTCCATTAGAGTACAATAAGTTCCTTGAGGGCAGGGCCATTTGGATTTTCTCTGTATGCCAGTACTCAGCCCTGTAACCCATCCTAAGCCCTTATTAAGCATCTCAAAAGCAATTATCTTGTTGACTGATTTGACTGCATGTGGTTTTATATACCTCTCTTTTCCCTCTCATTAAAACTTAGACTTTCTGTGTCACGCTCTACAGGTGCCAGGCATTCTCCTGGGTGGGTACAATACATACACAGATAAGTAAATAGAGACAATATAAACACTTAGGTCCTCTCAAAAGTCTTAGTGGAGTTTTAAGCTTTAACAATTTAAAACTACCTGAAGAGATGTTACCTTCCATAAACTCTCTCATATATGCCCCCTTCTCTCCTTTGACACTGTCATCGCTTTAAGCTTTAATAGTTTAAAACTCAGCTAAGACTTCTGGAATACCCTGTACATGACCCGCTGGCTAGATGACACAGTGGCTAGAGTGCCAGGCCTGGAGTCAGGAAGACCTGAGTTCAAATCTGACCTCAGAGACTTACTAGCTATGTGACCCTAGGCAAGTCACTTAACTCTGTTTACCTCAGCTTCCTCATCTGTCAAATGAGCTGGAGAAGGAAATGGCAAGCCACTCCAGGGTCTTTGCCATGAAAACCCCAACAGGGTCACAAAGAGGAAACAACTGAACAAGTACATGACCAGTCATGAGGTTTAGATGGTAGGGGTGTTGAGACCCCTAAATCATGACACTCAGGTCCTTCCTCAAAGAATTCAACCCAAGCCTTCTTTCAGCCAAAGACAAGGTTTATTAAAGATGAGCAATATAGGCCAGACTCTTAAGGAGTCTGAACACTTGTGACATTCATAAGGACAAGTGGGCATGAGGAAGTCTCAGTCCCTAAATGGCAGCTAGGATGGATCTTATATACAGAAAGACTATGGCAGGGATCTAGAAGTAGCCAAGTAGTTTGGGGTGACTGGAGGACAAGTTTAGGGAGGATCTTGAAGCTGGGGTGACTGAGGGAGGGTCCTGGGAGAATCTTGATGGGAGTGTCTAGGAGGCTGAATGGGATCTGGATAAAATCAAGGATGGGAAGTATAATGGGGGCTATCATGCCAGTAATTGACAATGGAGGGCTAGACTTTAATTAGGTTAACAAAGTATTGGGAGATAGGTCATAGGTGATAAGAAAAAGCCAGTTGATAGGAAAAAGAATAACCTCAGGAGAGTGCTAGACTTCCTTGACCAGGTAAAAGGGTTCAAGTAAAGTTCAAGAAAGGGTTTTTTGGGGGCCAGTCTTGGGGCCATACCCCATCATGTCTAGTAAGTTCTCAAGAGGCAACACATAAGAGCTGAGTCATGAAGGAAGTCAGGCATGCCAAGAAATGAATGGGGAACAAATTCTGGGCATGGAAGTAGGAGTTGGGATTTTGTCTAAAAGAAGCAGTAAGGAGGCCAGTTTGACCTGAATACAGAAGAAAGAATATGAACTGTGTAGAAAGGTAGATCATTTGTGCAGAGAATTCTCAATTCTGGGATTGTGAAAATAAAATGTCATCCCTCCTCAAACTTTCCATAGGTCCCCCTCTTCCCACATTCTTGCTTTGTCTTTCATTGAAAAAACAAATAAGGCTGTTGGCCAAGAGCCACCCTTTCTCCATTTCTCACATCACATCATTCAGAAGGCTTTTCACTATCTCCGTCTTCATTTCTGTCTCATGTGGAGAGGTGGCCAACCTGGACACACACAAATTAACCCATTCCATTTCATCTTCTCTAGAAGATTGTTCCCTCCATAATCTTATTTTTTTTAACCTTTGATCACTAGCTGTCTACTAGCTGCTCCTCACCTCCTACAAACATGCCTATGTAGTACCATCCTCAAAAAAACCCAAACCCTTCACTTGATTCATCTATCTCCACTAGCTTTTGTCTCATACCTCTTTTGTCTTCGGTGGCTAAGCTCTTGAAGAGGGCTGTCTATATCAGTGCCTAGACTTCCTTTCCCCTCTTTTCTTAATCTTCTGAAGTCTGGCTTCCATTCTCATCATTTAAGTGAAACTGCTCTCTCCAAAGTTACCAGTGATTTCTTCATTGCCAAAGCTAATGGCCTTTTCTCAGTCCTCATCCTTCTTGACCTCTCTATAGCTTTTGACAATGTCCACCACCTTCTTCTCTTGGACAATCTTTCTCTCGGTGCTTGTGACACTCAGCTTGCTTAGGGTTCTCCTCCTACTTGTCTAATTGTTCCTTCTCCATCTCCTTTGATCTTCAACCAGGTGCACCCACTAGTGGTGGAGTCCCCCACAGGGCTGTGTTCTAGACCATCTTCTCCCTCTGTGCTATTTCACTTGGTGATCTCATTTATCATCTCTGTGCTAATGATTCTCAGATCTACTTGTCCAACCCTAACTTTGACCCTCCAGTCTCGCATCTACATCTAAAATTGGACATCTTAAACTCAAGTCCAAAACTGAACTCATTATCTTCCTACCCCCAAACCCTCCTCTCTTCCTAACCTCCCTATTACCATTGAAGGTATCAGGATTTAAAATAAAAAACAAAACCTGGAAAGACTTACATGAACTGACGCAAAGTGAACAGAGAACCAAAACACTGTACCCAGTAACAGCAACATTGTACAATAATCAACTATGAGTAACTTAGCTCTGCTCACTGCTGAGGGTACTACCATCCTCCTGGTCATCCAGGCTTGTAAATTAGGTTATCAACCTGGACTCTTCACTCTCTCTTATTCCCCATATTCAATGTTGCCAACCCCTGTAGATTTAATTCTTGCTACATCTCTCATCCCTACCTCCCTCTCTCCCCCGACACTACCACCACCCTGTTGCAGTCCTTCATTACCTCACACCTGGACTATTCCAAGTCTTTTGGCTGGTCTCCCTCCCTTAAGCTTCTCCCCATTCTAGTGCATCCTCCACTCAATGGATCAAATTGCCCAGCCTCCCTTAGTGCCACTCATTCCTCTGTTGATTGTCTTCAATTTATCCTATTTGTAGCACATCTGTAAAGAATTGCTTTAATGTCGTCTTCCCCATCAAGACTGCGACTTCCCTGATGGCAGGTACTGGCTTTGTGCTCCCAGGGCTTAGCAGTGTCTTGACACAAGCAGGTGCTTAACATGACTGACTGAAAAAGAGCTGGATTCTGAGAAGAATCTTGTTTCAGATCCTGGTGGCTATTTAGTCTGCTCATTTATGTAACCTTGGACAAGTCACCTGACCTCTCTAGTCCTTGGTTTTCTCATCATGGTTTCTAATTACACGTAAAATGAGGAGATCTAGATTGTGTCACTGACCTTGGGACAGTCTGGTGAAATCTATAAACACCATTTTAGAAAAACGTTTTAAATGGTATAAAATGATAGGAAACCAATTATACTGAAATAGTTGTCAAAAATTAATTTTAGAATTCCAGGACTAAATGAACTCTATGGTTCCTTTCAACATGTGATCTTATTAACTTGCTGAATAACTAGGAAGCAGATTGATAAATTAATACGTCAATGGCTGACAATGACTTAACTAAGAGAACACGTACATTTCACCTACCATAAGATATTTTTGTTTGCCGTTGCTTGTTTTTTTTTTCAGATACCACGGGCCCCTCAAATGACTCAGGGAATTGCCAACCTCATCTGTATTCTTCTCATCTGTATTTCCCCTATCCTCTTCCTTGGTACACTTCCTTGGTACACTAGCAGTATGTTTCAGGAAGCACCACAGACAACTTTTGAGTAGGGAGAATGGCCTGGCTTAGTGAGAAAACCCTGCTATACCCTCATTCACTGATCAGCTGAAAGAGACTGGTGCCAGCCCCATACCTTCACAAGGTAGACACACTGGTTGGAATTTACAGATTCTTAAAGCGTGAGGGGACCCTTAGATGCCCAGTCCAACCCCTAATTTTACAAATGAGGAAAGTGAGGCCTACAGAGTATATTAGTCACACAGATAATTAATGGCACCAGTCACCCAAATCCCAGCCGCCCTTTCACCGTCTTTCAGTGGTGACTATTTGGGTGCTGTCTCAAAGGAAATTTGAGTGTACATGTTATCACTCACAAGGGAAAACTAGGCAAAAAAGTGTAAATGGATCTATCTGTGCTATATGCTAGAAAGACTACACAAAAAAAGACTTCAGAGCATAAAAGCAGCTAAGATAAACATCCACGTTGGTTCAGACCTGGAAGGGTGCTGTGGGTGACCTTGCGAGGGAGGGGACTATGGCAACCAAGTTCCATACCTCTTGTGCCTGAGACCCATGCTTCTTCTGGACCAGGGGTGGGGAACCTGTGGCCGTGAGGCCACATGTGGTCCTCTGGGTCCTCAAGCATGGCCCTTTGACTGAATCCAAACTTCACAGAACAAATCCTTAAGTTCAGAATCTGGATTTGCCCTACTAGACTCTCCTAGCTGGCACCCCCTCAGAACTCAGGAATGGGGCGAGTATGGTTATTATATCTTAATTTGTTATTATATTTTAGTTGGTATGTCACTCTGTAAACATTTAAGTGTTTCCTATATGTGTTCCAGCTGGATAGGGGCCCAGGGCTCTAGAAGTCTGGGCAGCTCACTTTAGAAACAATGGACTAAATATATAACGTGAAAGATTTTTTTTAATTTAAAGCAAGAAGTTAGGGTTTATAACTTCAAACAGATGAAATCTACTTGTTACTAAAAGAAAGAAAACTTATTTGCAGGGCCCATCTGGGGAGGGAGTAGTCGTTCTGTACTCCTCCTAGCTGGGCTGGAGGATGGCGGTATTCTGTGGTTGACCCAGCTCTTGGGAGCAGAGGCCAGGGTTGACTGATACAATGAAGAAGAACAACATACTCTTGTCAAGACAAGGCAGCGCAGCTGGAAGCATCAGGAGACCATCGTGTGGACACTGGGCAGCAGCTGGCCAGAACTTCAAAATGGCACATGGAAGGGGTAATCTTTGTGAGAAGCAGCACTGCAAGGGAAGAGACAAATTTGCTTTCGTCATAGGGACACTGACCATACTGAAGACAGAAAGATGGTGGAAAGTATACCTTTTTTTTAACATTATAATAGACAAAATATAATTAAGTCCTGAAAAGATGGTCCAGGGAATGAGTTACAAAGGCTGGTCTCTTGAAGGCAGCAGTTCAGCCTAATGATATACTCTGCCAAATCAGTCAACAGTTACTGAGGCCGTACTAGATGTGCCACGGCTGTACTGTGCCCTGTAGGATGCTAAATAGAAGAGGATACAAGGCCCTGTCCTCAGAGAGCTTCTGGTCGCCTGGGGGAGATTAACACGAGCACCAGCAGCGCCACAACATAACGGCACATAAACAATACAGACACATGCTGTAGGAGTTCAGAAAAGGCTCAGATCACTTCAGGAAAGACAGGGCAGATCTATAAACGTGAGGTCTGAACCAGGCCTAGAAGGAGTCCCAGGAATTGGGTAGTTTCAAGGCAGAGACACACTGGATTTATATTCAGGCTACCTGGGTTCCCATCTTTACTATGCTGCCTGTAGGATCTTGGTGGGGTGGGGGTGCTGGCGAGGAAGAGGGGAAATCACTTAAGTAGTTTCTTTATCTGTACAATGTGGATGAGGGTGCTTTTACTACTTCTCTCTCAGGGCTGCTGCAAAGAGCATTTTGAAGAGCTTAATATGCTATATAAATGGGAGCTCTTATTACAAGGCATGAAGATATAAAGTGCTATTTAAATATGAATCATTCAAGAAGTTACAGGGGGATGCTGGGAAAGCTCAAGATGTGTTCTAGGGGAGGAGGGGAGCAGTGAGGGATTTATTTAGGTAGCAGCAAAAATTCCATGGTAGGGAGAACTCCCCGCCTCCCTGAAAAAAAAAAAAAGAGGTAAAAAAAAGGTGGGAAAAGAAAACTTTTGAGTCTTTCTAAAAAAACTACTGCATTGCCAGGGCTTAATATCAATCAGAGTGTATGGCACACAGAGATGCTTAAAAAACTCTTACTCAATGACTGATCAGATTATCTTCTCTATTCGAAAAATTTTCTGTAGCTACCTGGACTTACAAGGTACCCTGGGATAAGATTTCTAGTAGAGACGGGGGGTGGAGATGGAGAAGGGAGGGTGAAGAAATGGAGAGAAGCTGGAAGCATGGAGGCCACTTACTTACAGGGATTCCCAATGTTTTTTGTGCCATGCATCCCTTTTCTGAATAATTTTTTAAATGCATAAAATGAAATACGTAGAATTACAAAACCAATTACACTGAAGTACAGTTATTAAAACATCTGGGGGGGAAGAAAAAAGTTCACGTACTTTCAGAACTCCTGAGTTAGGAGGTTACTGAAGTAGTCTAGGTATGAAAGGATAAAGGAATTAAACCCTCAGGTAGCAGAGGAATGAGAAGAGATATTTTGGAAGCAAGACTCTCAGGACAAGTGCCTAGTTTCATATACATATGTGTGCATGCACACATGCGTGTACAGGTATATATAAACACAAACATACACATATGAATACATATATGCATGTATACAGTTTATACTTCTATATATAAAACATGTGTACATATTAATAAAATTACATGTAATAGAAAACACGTATGTGTTTATATGTACACACACATGCATGCGTATCTCTAACTCTTGTACTTTTATATGCCCCTACACATATAAACATATACATATACACACACATACATATACAAGAGTCAAAGATCACCCCAAGGTTTTAGGTCTGGTGACAGCCAAGAAAAAGGCAAATCAGGGAATAGGAAGAGTTCCATTTTAGACAAGATGATTCCTTTCCAAGTCTTGGAAGAAGCTTAAATCAGAGACCTGGAAGACCGTCAGCTGCAGAAAAGGCAGGTCATTAAAGCCATGGGACTAAGTGGTATATTTAAGGGAGAGAGAATAGAGACCAAAAGGCCAAAGCTAAAGACTGAAATATCTCCATTTAAGGTAGAGGTAGAAGAGCTGGTTTTAAAAAAAAACCCAGAACTTATATAAGTTCTTCTTACAAATGTTATTTCATTTAAATCTTCACAATAACCCTAACAAGGCAGGTACTATTATTATCCTCTTTTTACAGTTGAGGAAAGTAAGGCAAACAGAGGTTAAGTGACTTGTCCAGGATCACACAGCTAGCCAGTATCTGAGGACCTAGACTATCTACTGAGCTATTAACTTTTCCTCAAAAGGAGAAGCTGAAGGACCACCTGGGATCAATAGGTTTCTTATCTCCCACAAGGTTCTGAAATTAGATTGCAATGGGACATTTAACAGGAGATAACAAGGTTCAGTAGAAAGAGAAGTACTTGTAGAATCAGAGTTCAAAGCCCACCTCTGATGTTTACTGCCTGTCTGACCTTGGGGAAGTCACTTAACACGTTAGGCCTCTAGTTTCCTCAACTACAAAATGATGGAACTGGACTAGATGGCTTTGTGGGGAAGATACAGGAACTACTCCTAGAGGGTACCTAATATCATTAATTTCTCTTAATATCATTAACATCATCTAACATAAAACATGCCCCATGGTAAGATATGAATTCAGCATTTGGCCTTCAAAAGATTTCCTGTGCTAATTCTAGTCCAAGCAGTTTGAAAGGTAGCTTTGGCCAGGGCCTGAAGCAATTCTATTTCTTAGCACAGTTGCAGCTACATTGGGGGGGAGGGGGCAGGACTTCATAGAAGGCTACAAGCCAGGCCCTTTCCTTAGAATGTCTGTCTCTTGCAGAGCCTTGGAGCTCATTTCAGACCTTCTCTGGTCTACAGCTTTGAGATCATGGGCCTCCAAGGGTACACATTCTTTTGTTCTATGGATGCCGAGATAGGTAGATTACATTCAGAAGAAACCTACTTGACCAGGGCACAGACTCTGAAGTCTTGGTTGAAGCTGAGTATAGTTGACATCTCCTCGTCAGACAACTGGAAATCAAACACCTGAAAAAGAGAGAGTGTTTCCAGTGAATCCTTGACACAAAATGCTACCTGGAATCACACAGTAATATCTAGCCTACCATATGTCAGGTACTTTGCAAGGCACTGAGGATTCAAAGACAAAAAGATGAAATAATGCCTGCCCTCAAGGAGTTTATGTTCTATTGGAGAAATAATATAAAAATAAAATAACAAAAAATTTTAAAATACAAGGCTATGGAAGCTGGGGAAAAATATATAAGATGGTACCTGAGCCTAATTTTGAAGGAAACGAGGCATTTTGAGAGATGGAGGTAAAGAGGAAATATATTCCAGGTATGAAGTGGTATTATTTACTAGAAGGGGTATTTAAATACCCTACAAGCGGCTTTGGAAGGGGGATCACAGTGAGACTTCATAATGCCTTCCAGGAACATGAATTTTCAAAGTTGAACATGGTGGGAAAAGATCACTAATGCTAGCTAAAGAGTAAATTTGTACAAGAAGATCTGGGTACCATGGAAACAGCCTCTTCCTTAAGAAGTCAGCCACTCTAAATGACAGTTGGAGAAATGACATAGGAGTTTCAAATGGTCTAAGGAAAGTTCATTACTTTTATTATTTATTTGTAGATTGTCTGGTGCCTTAAAAGAAGGCTTGCCTCACACAAGGAAAGAAAGCTAAAAGGTAAGAAAAGTTATAATTCTGCCTGTCTTGGGGTGCCATTTTGTGGTCAGTGTGTTAATTTGGAAATAACTGACAATAGAAAGCCTTTTTATATAAGTTCCTTTGAGGCAACCCTCCTAAGAAATTTAAAATCTTGAAAAATTCCTTTTCTCAAGGTGGGCTCTCAGTTCCCAGAGGGGACTTAACCCCTGAAGAAATTTTTCCTTCTTCAAGAGGGGGAATCTCAGCTTCTGATGATGAGAGGGATTGATGCCCTTTCGGGGGAAGTCTTAAAAACCTTAGAAAATTTACTTTCTCTGAGGGGATGTGCTGTTTTTACCAGGAAAGAGTTCTTAAACCTTAGAGGACTCATTTCCTCTGGGGAAGCTGGAAGGGTGTTTAAACCTTGAAGAATTCCTTCGATCTTACAATGACAGGGATATTGCCCATTAGATGCTAGGGAAGCTCCTCTTCTCAGTTCTGCAAAAAGGGGACAACCAAAATATAGTCCCTCTAGGTCTTCAAGTGAGGCCCTTTAATTGAATCCAAGCTTCATAGAACAAACCCCTTAATAAAAGGATTTGTTCTGTAAAACTGAGTCCAAGTTTGGTTTGGTTTTTTTTTTTGGCTACTCTGGTAAATAACAAATCTTTAACCAGAAGGCATCATTTTACAAGTCAGATCTTCACAGATAGAATCTTCCTTCAGCCTATTGTGGGCACTGTCTTTGGGGGGGGGGGGAAGGGAACCTGCAGCCTCGAGGCCATAAGTGCCCTCCAGGTCCTCAAGAGCTGCCCTTTGACTGAATCCAAACTTTACAGAACAAAGCGGGTTCCCCAACCAGGTATACAGAGTTTAGGGAAAGATGAAAACAGCAAGGGGTACATGAAGACTTAAATTCTCTGAAGTTTCAAATGAACTATGGGCTCCTAATTGGATGTTTTTCTTATAGCTCAGCTGTTAAAAGGATTAGAACCGTAAGGTTTGAGCTAGTTTTCACCACATGAGCTAGTTCTGGAAAAGCAAAACTTAAGCGGCTGTACTAAATTATATTGAGATCTGTTCTGCAAAAGATCTTAGCAGAAACAACTAAGAACCTCTACCAGTAACCCGAACCAGAGAAGCAGATATTCTAGTCTTAAACCCCTTATGGGGTTGTGACCTAGTTTTTAGAAGCACTGAAGGCGTCGCAAGCGGAGCCCTGTGAGAAGCCCCTTCCTTGAGAGAAGCCCTGAAAACAGGCCCATTCCAGACAGCCCAAGGGGAGATGTTTTCAGAAACCAGACAACTGCATGAGACATCTGGACCCTAAGATACTGTGTTATGATGGAAGACCAAATTCTGCATTAGCCTTGCCCTTTTACAAGGACTGGCTTTGTGTCAAGACAGGACCTCGTGTGTTTATGGAGTTTAATGACTACAGAGTATGGGTCCTTACAGGCTGCCACAGGAAAACTAGTCTAGCTGAGAGCTCAGAGAGGCTCAAACCACAGCACCTTCCAAAGACCGTTACACAAGCCACAGAGGTTACAATCTCTGTCAGTGAAGGGAAAACCCAAACCAACAAAGTTCGGAGCCTTCAAAGTATTCATACCTGAAACAGGCGTTGCTGACCAGTGACTATCTAACTGCCTGCCTGAAGACTTCTAGTGACAGAGATGTGTCACTTTCCAAGGCTCCCAATGATTAAATGCATATGCAGAGGTGGGAGGGTTTCCCTGGATAACTTTGAATTGCCAGAATGACTTGTATTTTCCATTCAGCTACCTCATAGGATTATGGTGAACAAAGTACTTTCTTCACTGTCTAGTGCTGTCTAAAAGGGAGTTATTATTTCCTCATCTTATCCCCACCATGCACCCTACATCTCCAGACAAACTGGATTCCTCTGTCCCCTGAACATTCAATGCGCCCTCCCACCTCTGACTTGGCTCGTACCATTCAATATGCTTGGAATGCTCTCCCTTCCTACTCTATGCCTACTCATTCTTTAAAACCCAGCTGAAATGCCACCTCCTCTACGAAGCCTTTCCTGATGGGTAATGAATGACCTGACCCCACACTCCCTGCCCCAGACCTTCCGTAGAAAATGCACGAGGGACAGAGAGCACAGCATTTGGTCATCATGCTCAATTGATACGCTGATTATTTTTGCTGAATCACTTCCTAACCTCCTCCTTTGTTTTTTATTCTGTTATAAAGGATAGTTCTTTGGGTAGGAGAGAAGGATGTATTTGAAATGAGGTCATTAAAAAAAAAGCTACCCAATTTTTTCTAAAAGACTGCATTAAAAAGTAACAAAATGAAGCCAACAAATGTAGTATCATTCGGGTGACAGGGACAGATTTCAGAAGGGCCAAGCGAACAGGTGAAGAAACAGAAGCCACTATTATTTTTAGATATTTGGCTGTAAATAGCGGCAGGGAGAAAGTTGATGGTGGTGAAGGGAGAGATAGGATGGTAGCTTGAGAGCACTGCAGAGTCAAGAAATTATTTTTAGAATGAGGAAGACCTAGGCATGTTTACAGACAGAGACAAAGGAGCCAACAGGGAGGGAAAAATGGAGGATGACAAAGACAGTGATCTAATAAAGTTCCCCGTCAGTCCAACAGAGCCACTGAAACCGCAAATGGGGGTAGGTTCACTTGTCTAAGCTACTTACTTGGGTATTTACTGTGGAAGCATCAATGACCACAGTCTAGATCAGAGATTCTTAACCCGGAGTCTGCAAACTTTTCTCTTCTTTCGGCTAAGTGTATTTTTATATATAGGGGCAGCTAGGTGTCATAGTGGACAATGCTTTGCTTGAAGTCAGGAAGACTGATCTTCCCAAGTTCAAAACCCAGTTGAACACTTATTAGCTACATGACCTAGACTTGTCACTTAACCCCGTTTGCCTCAGTTCCTCATCTGTAAAATGAGCTGGAGAAAGAAATGGCAAACTACTCCAGTATCTTCGCCAAGAAAATTCAAATGGGGTCATAAAAGAGTAGGACATGACTGAAATAACCCAGCAATTTTAATGTACTTTGAATAATATTTTGATAAGTATATTTCAGTATAATCGTAACTATATTTTAATTACAGGATAATCACAATCCTTTATAATCCTACTATTTTAAGTACTTAAAAACATTAATTATTCTGAGAAGGATCCATGGCTTCACCAGGCTGCCAAGGGCGTCCATGACACAAAAAAAGCTAAAAACTTCTGTTCAAAGGACAAACAGAGGGGTACTGGCCTGCATGTTTCATGTTCCCTGAGGAAACACAAGGCCTGTAGGGTATCTTACCTGAAAGTTCTCAGCAATCCGTGATGGGGTGATTGACTTGGGGATCACAACCACTTTTCTCTGGATGTGGAACCTGATCAGAACCTGCAGACAGAAAAAGAGAGACTCCATTCTTCCCTGGTCTATCTGGGACTACCAGTACCTTGAGGAGTCAGGCCCCTTTCCTCCTTAGGACAAATCATTCCATGGAATAAAAGCATTGTCTTCTGCCATTTACATTTAGAAATGTAGAGTAGAACTGAGCTTCTTAAAATTGCTGTATTTGGGGGGAAGGTGGTAAGGATGGTGAGAGAAGAGTGGAAAGGAAGCTTCAAGCAGAGCCTCCAGCGAGTGTTAGCAAAAACGACACCAAAAACAGAAACGTGAAGGCCTGTAAGCAACAGCAACCCACCCACCCCCAGTACCTGTGCTGTGGTTTTCTGGTGCTTTGCTGCAATGGCCTGGATCCTGGGGTCATTCAAGAGAGAAGGGTCCTCTGGCTTGGCCCTAGGAATTAGACGATGTTAAATATGAAAAAGCACTCTTATTTTAATTAATTTAAAATTTAACTTTTTAATGCATTTTTTACTTTTAAATTTCATGTCACTTTCATTTTAAATAAAAGTAATAACTCCAATAATTCCTTTCAGAACCTGTATAAGCCAAGTGAATATTATTTGCTCCATTTGGTGCTCCTCCAAGCTCCCCAAGGTACACTCAAGTGAGTTAAGATGGGATTTGAAGCCTTAGACTTTTGTACAAATGCCACTGAGCCTTTCCTAGAAAAACAAGAAATCTTGTTGGAAGTGGCATAGTACTAAAATCCTAGGTCTGCTACCTACCTGGGTGACCTTTGTCAAGTTACTTATAACTTCTATGGGCCTCGAATTCCTAATTTGCAAGGTCCTTTTTAGTTTTTTTTCCTTTTTTCAGGGGTGGAGTTTAAGAGCTGTTATTTCATTGGTGTAAAGAACTCCCCACATGCAAAAGTCTTAGAGACTAGCAAAACTCATCTAAGACTTATAGTCTCTGAGAGTTTCCCAGGGGCAGTCAATGATCTGCCCATGCTGGCATGCATCTACAGCAGAACCTCAGACCCAAGTTTTCCTGTCTCAGAGGCAGGTCCTCTTCTCCTACTACACAATACTGCTATTCTATGAGATAATCAATGGTTAAATCCTGAACCTGCCCTTTCACCCCTCAATAAAACCAACAAAGGGCTCCAATTGGATGGGCTTGCTGTGCAGGCACCAGAAGCATTTCCCTTAGAATTAACATTGCCTCTCTTTGCTTCTACCCCTTGTGAGAAGACAGGAAATCACAGCTCCTTAAATTCCTTACCATGGCCGATCTGGAGAACCAAGGGGACTGTAGGCTGTCACTACAATGCCCTTGGACTGGCAATATGCAATCAACTTCTCCTGGGTGAGATATGGATGGCACTCGATCTGTAAATCAACAAAGTGTTGGAACAAGTGAATGACTTGCCCCAGGACACACCCTGATCTCACCCTCAACCACTGATCCCAAGTATTTCTCTCCCTACTGATGATTTGGGTTGAGTTTATTAAAGCTTTTGTAAGGAGAATTCTCTGTGATAGGAACCACAGCCCAGATATCATTGTCATAGGGTCAAAAGACTGTTAAGATTCTCTAATTTTCCAAGGTTTGCCAAAATAGATTTGGTCCTTGGAGTCTGACAACACCAATCTCCCAGATCCCTTCTCTTTACCAGAAGTGAAGTCCTAAAACAAGATACCATGAAACCTATTTCCTGGCTGTTAAATGTCTACATAGTATCAGAGTCATATGGTCCAAAAATACAGGTCAAGGGCACCATCTTCTCTTTAGAGTTTACCTGGTTAACTGCCGGCTTGTACTTCAGCCCCGGCATGGTCAAGAGGCTCTCAATCTGGTCATGGTTGAAGTTGGAGATTCCAATGGCTTTCGCCATGCCTGCATCCACCAACTCTTCCATGGCCTGAAAACAGGAGGGTCTGTGAATGACTAAAACACTTCTTGAGAGCAGAGTGAAGGAAGAGAAAGTAGGGGAAGACATCTGACTAAGACAGGAGGAGGGGCACTTAGCAAATGGCCTGTTTTGTTTCTTTTTCAGTGAAGTATGAAGCAAGGTCTTTGGCTGAGGCTTGAGGAGAGGATGCAGTAAGAGGTCTGATAAGAAATGAGGTGTGAATAGCTTCCAGAAAGAATGGGTTAGCGAATAGATCTCAATTCCCACTTACCTCCTCCATTCATTCCTAATTTCCCATGAGGAAGCTCATGTCTACCCAACCCTAAAAAGTCTTCCCTTCTGTCTTCTGGCTATGTCATAATTCATTAAAGTTGTGTATAACTGATACCTCTACTTTCTCCTCAGCTTCTGTTAATCTGGTTTCTCTCCCTCCTGCTCTACTGACATTACTCTCTTAAAGTTCCCTAACAACTATCTAATTGCCAAATGCTAAAAACAATAAAAAAAAAAGCAATTTTTAGTCTTCCTTCTTGACCTCTCTTGCTTGCTTATGTTTTTGCTGGATGCTCCTTCCTCCCATGGCCTTAGACACCCAGTATTAACTGGTTCTCCTTCTACCTCATTGATTGTTTTTCCCAATCTCCTTTACTGACAACTTATCATCTTCCCAAAGTCAATGTTGGTGCTGCCCAAGGGTCTCTCTTTGGCCATCTACTATTCCTCTTTGCAATCCCACTCATCCTCAAGTGTTTTGTAACCATTCCTAAGCAAATGACTTCCAAAGCTGTATCTCTAATATCTAAATTCCCTTCTGAGAAAGGGGCTGGACTTGGGAGTCTGAAAGGCTAGGTCAAATCTGGCCTGACACTTCTTGGCTGGGTGATTTAACCTGACTGCCTCAGTTTCCTCATCTGTAAAATGAGGATAACAAAACAGCACCTACTCCCAGGTTGTTTTGAGGATCAAATGAGATATAAATCTACATACCATATAAACATTAGCTACGATGATGATGGTGATGATGGGTAAAATGAGAGTGTTAGTCTACTAGATGTCCTCTGAAAGCCCCTCTGGCTCTCACCCTAAGATTCTGCCATCAATCACTGACTACACAATAACTGCTCTGCCCACCAGTACATCAAAATTCAAAATATCAAAAATTGAACTTGTGACCTTTCCTCCTAGTCCCATTCTTCCTTCCCAATATCACCATTTACCCAGTTCCCCATGTTTGATACTTTGGATTTAATTGAGGACAGGGAACAGTCCATCAGAGGGACCAAGTTTTATCAATTGTTTCTCTGCAATATCTTTGGCATCCAGTCCTAACTTCTTTGCCGACCTCCAGAACCGCATCTCCAACTATCCAGCGGACATGTAGAACTAGATTTCCTGTAGATATCTTAAACTCAATATGCCCCAAACTGAATTCATTATTATCTATTCCCCTAAAACCTCCTAACTTCCCTATTACTGTTAAGGTTACCACCATCTTTTCAAGCACCCAGGTTGGCAATCTACATGTCATCCCTGACCCTCACTTTCTCTCATCTCCCTATATCCAATTTGTTGCCAAGGGTCTTGTCTATTTCCCCTTCATAACTTCTCTCCTCTGACACTGCCCCCCACCCTCATGGAGGCCCTGATCGCTTCATGCCTGGACTATTGCAATAGCCTGCTGGTATGTCTGCCAGGCTCAAGTCTCTCCTCACACTCAGCTGTCAAACTGACGTCCCTGAAGCAAAGATCCGACCATCTCCTCTCCCCAACTCAATCACCTCTAGTGGCTCTTTGTTTCTCCAGGATAAGATGTAAAATCCCATTTGTCATTCAAGGTTCTTCATGACCAGCCTCCCACCTTCCTGATCTTCTTACATTCTGTACCTTCCCCCCCATATATCCCGCCATCCTACCTTCCACGAGAAGCCTTTCCTATTGGCCCTTCCTAACTTCCCAGTCTTCTTACATCTTACAGTTCCCAACCCCCACATACCCTGCAATCCTACCCTCTACAGGAAGCCTTTCTATTGGCCCTTAATGCTAGTGTCTTCTGCTAATTATCTCTGACGCACCCTGTAAATAAATATCTTTGTACCTTGTTGTTGTCATGTTGTATGCTCCACTAAGACTGCGAGTTCCTTGACAGCAGGGACTGAGTTTTGCCTTTCTACATATCCCCGAGACTTAGCACAGTGCCTAGCACATAGCAGGTGTCTGGTAATATTTACTGACTGACCGCTTCATTTCACCATCCCAGTACATGTCCTCCTTACTATCTACTGGCACAAGTGTATGAGTTTCCTAACAGATCTGCCCACATATATTTTCTACTGCCTATTAGTATATTATATTAGTATAGTATACATATTTAGAATAGGTACTACTACCTCTTCCACAGCCAGAATCATACTTAACCATTCTTCTGACCATACTGCTTTTCTGTTCAAAATTCCTTAGCAGCTCTACTACTCTATTTCCTCACCTTTTCTTCACTCAAGCCGTTTCCTAGTCTTACGATTGTCCCTTCTTCCCATCTATTTGAACTCTCCTATCCTTTAAAATCCAACTCAAATGCCACCTCTTCCCTGAAGCCTTGTCTGTCCATCTGGCAAGAACTTTCTCCTTTGGACCTTGCACTTTTATTTCTGACTTTTGAAGTCATGACTTATACAATGTTGAATACTACAGTTTATCTGTGTTTTGTCTTATCTCCCCTGTAAAATTTGAAACTACAAGAAGACACAGACCATGTCATCTAAAAAAACGTATCTCCCCTGTCACTTAGCACAATGCTCTGCATTTGGGGGCTTAATGTTTATTGAAGGAATGAATAAAAGCCAAGCCAGATTCTGCTAAGAAAACAGGAAACCCACCAAAAAAATCGAATAGGAGTTCATATGGAAGCACAAACACATGGCTGAAAGATTCGATGAGACAATAGGACTCTAGTAAAGACCTCAAATGATTCCCTAGTCACACCCCAAAGAGTCCAACTAAGACAGTGATTGTCTTACCGTCCACGTATCCAAAAAGCTCGTGTTACTGGGAATCATATTGCCCTTGTCATCCAACGGGAAAAGATCGTCCCCAGACTGTCATAGACAAGACACAGAAACATAAATTGAAATTCATAGACAAGATACAATGACACAAATGAAATTTCCTTAGAAGGCTTTCCTTTTTCTGAAAGGAACATACCAAAAACATCTCCTTTTTTAAGGTAGTTTGGGAACAAATCCATATATATAGATAATCAGTGGCCCCAACAAGCCAATTCGATTTAGTGAAGCCCAATATTCAGAGGTGGATTCTTCTCAGAAAGCTCATTTCTAATCATTGCTGACCAAAAAACCCACATACATGTTCTGTATTAAGAGATCCATGTACTAAACAAAGGAATTAGAGGTCTCCAAAGGACCAGGAAGTACACATGAAGAAAGCCTCCAAACTCAAAGAGCTTTGACAATTTCTCCTTGGGTGGTCACGGACAAGTCACCAAATCTTAAAACCCCAAATTCTTCTAGCTCTAAATGAAGATTAAATATGATTGTACATGTATATCCTTTATCAGATTGCATGCTGTCTTGGGGAAGGGGAAGGGGAAGGGGAAGGGGGGGGGAATTTAAAACTTAACATCTCATAAAAGTGAATGCTGAAAATTTAAAATAAATAAATATTTGAAACGAAGATTAAAAACAACTTGCCCTACACCAGATTCTCATGAAGGTCTCGCTCTATTTCCCCTTTGGAAATTGCATTGTATATTTCAAGCAGCTCTAGAAATAGGGGCTTCTGGAGAGAACAGCCGTACCTTAAATCCTGTAGGCCAATGAATAAGGTAGAGATCCAGGTAATCCAGCTTCAAGTCATTCAGAGTTTTTTGGCAGGCTGACTTAACCAACTTTTTCTCATGGTACGTGCACCACAGCTACACAGGAGAAAACAACAAGGCACGGAATGCTGTCACTGCTGACAAGAAAGTTCTTGTCAGATGCACAAGATAAGCCTTCAGGGAAGACGCAAGGTTTGAGTTAGACCTTTAAAGGACAGGAGAGTTCAAACAGATGGGAGGAAGGGACATTCCAGGACTAGGAGAGAGCTTGAGTAAAGGTGAAGAAAAGGTGAGGAAGTAGAGTAATAGCGCTGCTAAAAAATTAACCATTACTGGTTAATTACTTACCGAGGTAAAGGCCTCTCTTGTCCCAAGACAAAGAAACTGTTGACCTCTTAAATAATCTAAAATGGACTCCCTCCCCTGACATCTATCACTGAATTTGTTTTTAAGACTATAGATCTGATACCTTAAACGAGTTTCCTGTTGTCCATCCTCGAAGAGGACCATTGACATCACGGGGTGACGTCCTGACTGCTTGTGGATTAGATTTAAGTGAGGCAGAGCTGCACAAAGTCATCAGCCTCACGATGTCTTCTACAGTCATCAAAGACCAGTGACAGGACAAAAGTCAAGATGACTAGCAATGGCTCAAAATACAGTGGATGACCTTGGCATCTTCCACGTCTGACCAAGGTCTAAGCCAGGCTTGTACAACACTGCATGCACCTCTTACAGCCCATGAAAGATACAGAGGATGTAAACAGGCCTGCACAACATACCTCCCTCGGGCCCATTATGGCCTGAAGCCCACTTGCTGCCTGCCAAAGGATTTTGGTGGCCCTCAAAAAACATCCATTACGTGAAACAGGCCTGCACAACATCCAGGCCACAGGCTGCTTTGGTAAAGCACAAGCGGCCAGCAGGCTGTATGTTGTACAGGCTTGGTCTAAGCACTCCACAGCACTTGCTTCAGCAACCTTCATGGCTGTTGAAATAAATCATTCTCGTTTGCCCATTCTGCCAAAATGTCTTCAAATGCTTGTGGTAGACAACCCCCAACTCACCAATGCGTTGGAGGCCTATCAGTTACCCTCAACCTGGTTTAGCCTGTCCGCTAAGACAATTTTAACAGGGTGTGGCTACTATACATGGTAAAGCTTCTTGGAGCCAAAGGTGAAACTTGAGTACCAGGCAGACACGGAAGGTGGCTGAGCAAACCTGAAAAGGGCTCAGCAAACCCTCACACCAGAGGAGCTAGTCCTCCCTGAACACCTCCGAATGAGTGGGAACAAGTCATTCTTTAACACAGGCTGTCCCCTGTAGGTCTAGAATGTACTTATTCCATCTTCATCTCTACTTCTTAGCATTTCTAGCTTCCTCCAAGGCTCAGTTCTTCATATTATTTTACACAAACACACACACACACACACACACACACACACACTCATCTCAACCCCCCATTCCCAAGCAAAACAGTCCTTTCTTGATGAAAAAAAAAAACAACACATGTCCCCTTCCATCTAGGCCTCTGTATCTCCAGCACTCAGCACAGTGCCTTGCCCACTGCAGATGTTTAACATATCAAATATGGCACACTACCCTTGATTACACACTGGACAAGTCCTCCCACTAACTACTGTCTAAAATTAATGCTACTATCAAGCTAAGAATTTTGATTTAATTGGAGTAAAAAAAAAAACTCTACAGAACAGGGCATGAATTCAAACCCCCTCAGCCTGACCAGAAGTCAAACTACATACCTTGCTGACAATGAAGAGGTCTTCCCGTTTCACAACATTCTCCTTGATCTTGTCTTGGATGGCCTCACCCACTTCATTCTCATTCTGGTAGACGTGGGCACAGTCGATATGGCGGTATCCAATATTGATTGCAGCCTTCACTGCCTCAGCCACTTTGCCTGCAGGGGACTGAAAGGGAAAGTAATATAAAATATGAGCTAAAAACCTATCCTAAGGAATGACAATTATTTCTATCCAGAGACCACATCTAAAGAAAAACTTCACAATGGGCCAGAAACATTAGGAGGTCACTTGGTGCCGCAGAGGGAGGGCTAGATTTTAAGAGCCTATCCACCAAAGTTGGAATCTGGGCTGTCACTACTTATATGGCCTTAGATAAGTCACTCAATCCTTCCCAGGTCTCAATTTCTTCATTTGTAAAAGAGAAGAGGTGGAAAACAGATGCCCCTAACTCTAAAACTATGATCTTGTAGGGACAGCTAGGTGATGCAGAGGATAGAGAACCCACCCTGGAGTCAGGAGGACATGAATTCAAATCCAGTTGTGTGACCCTGGGCAAATGACTTAATCCTGACTCCCTCCCCCCAAAATAAATAAAAGATAAAAAACCCAAAACTATGACTGTACGTGCTTACATCCTAGTTCCGCCTCTTCTATGAGCACTTTTCTAAATGCTCCTATCCTCTGATCTCCAATGTCAATTTTGCCTATGCCATACAATCCATTCTTGGTTATCTAAGATTTGATATATAGGTGTGGAACTGAGGACTAAAGGTTTAATGACTTGTCTGAAGTCATACAGTCATAGCAGAGCTGGGGTTCACAACCAGGTCCTCTAACTCCAAATCCAATACCATGCTTTGCTGGGTACATAATATCTATGGGATTTAATTGAACGGATTGGCAGTGGCCCATCAATTTACTCAAGACCAGGGGCTAGAGCCAACAGCATGTGACACATACCTATCCAAGCACCGGTATTGGAACTTTTGTGACTATAACAGAATCTACTAACGAAATTCCTCCCCTTGAAAACCCAAATGCAATTTCTGCAAGCTTTCCATGGTCCCCCTCCTTGAGAATAACCACCTCAGGAGAATAAGGGCTACGTAATCAGAGAATGTCAGAAGCCATTTAGTCCAACAAAACTGACCCAAACGGGAATCCATTCTACTGACTTGGATGTCACCCCACCTTTGACTGAAGCCCCACAGGGAAGGGTATTGGAAATTTTTCCTTCTATCAGGTTAATTCTACCCTCATTTTAACTTCCTCTCACTAGAGGTTTGCAATCCAGGGCCAATCACATGAGAAACTTTCAAATGCTTGAAGATAGCTTTCATTTCCTCAAATCTTCTCTTTTTGAGGATAAAAATATCTACAAATCCTTTAACCTGGACAATATGTCCTGGATGCTATGTCTCTCTTGGGCTGCTAATCAAATGGGTGACCAATACTGAACCTGTAGTCCACTAAAATCCCCAGACCTTTTTCAGAAGAATGGCTTGTCTGGTTTCCCTTTCACCTTCTCACACTCGTGAAGTTGATTTTTGGGGTCCAAGTTTAAAACCTGACTTTCTTATTAAATTTCATCTTTTTACTTAATAACAAAGAGATTATCTACCCTCAGAGAGACAGAGGACAAAGAAGTATAGCAGAGTCTCACACAGATGCATATGAATGTATATGTCTACATATAAGTATATGATTATAGATATCTAAGTATGTATATATGCATACATATTTTTGTGTGTACATATGTATATTTGTATGTGTACATAGATATGTATACATGTATACATATATACATACACATGCATATACATATCTATATAAATATTTATACCCACACTTAATTGTACCTTCTTGGGGAGGGAAGAGGGAGAAAAGAACAAAGTAGAAAGTACACAGCAGAAAACAAAAGAAAACTTACAAGGAAGCAAAGAAAAGATGGGCAGTTTTCAACACAATGCTCAGTATTTATTATATAGGCTTTCTAGAAATGGCAATTTATTGCTGAATTCTCTTATGTTCTGCTGTGCACATGGCAATGCTTTATTTCCTTTTCTTATTTTGTATTTAAGTTTATAATGCTTCTTTTTCTTTTCTTATGGTGTATTTATATTTTTGTATTTAAGTTTAAAATAAATTAATTAAATTTCATCTTTTTATATCTAGCCTAATATTCCAGCTTTTTTGGAGCCTGTCATCCAACCAAATTACTTACGCTTCCTAGCTTCGTGTCCTTTTCGAATCCAATAAACTTTCTCTCCAACCCCAGTGCCTAGCAAAGTGTTCTGCTCACTGCAGATGCATGATAAATGTTTTTCAAATTCAATCAGAGCATCTCTGTTATCATTAAATAACTCAACAGGCTGCCTAAAGAGCTGGGAGTTCTCCTTTAGCTTATCGGGGGTGGGAGGGAAGAGAAGAAATGTGGGGGGAGCAGCACACATAATATTTGCTGTGCAAACGAGCAACTCAGCCCAGATTAGAATTTACCCTTTAACTCCCATTCACTGGCTACTTAGCCTTGAACACTTTATCTAGAAAAATGAAAGGCCGTTTTCTACAATGTCTTAAACACAAAAGTGTATATATATATTTTTTTACTCCTATAGTAAGTTAAGTAAAACTATTGTCCTTGGCTCAGATTCTTAAAATCTAGCCACTGCTCAAATTCTTACAATCTAGCCAAGAGCTCACAGGTGCTCAGATTCCTTAAAAGTCTGGCTAATATGGTGGATAATAATATGGTTTATTAAAATAAACCTTGTCTTTGGCTGGGAAAAAAAAGTATCGTCCTTTCAAACGAGTTTCAAGGCCTATGCCAGAGTGAAATCAGTGGTTATTAGAAAGCACTTACTGTATGGAGAGTCAAGGACCCAAAAAACTTTAAGAGATGATGAAGATGAAGTGTCAGGAAAAGGAAGAAATATGCAGGATAGGGAAGGAAAACGGGTCAGTAAGGGTCAGTAAGAGTCAGTCTCCGTGGAGTCAGCTGGTGGTCCAGCGTTTAGGGATCTGAGACTAGAGGCAGAAGTTGTTACTGGTTCAGCAGTTTCAGGCCCGTCTGACTCTTTGTAACCCCAATTTGGGGTTTTCTTGGTAAAGATACGAGAGTGGTTTGCCATTTCCTTCTCCAGCTCATTTTACAGATGAGGAAACTGAGGCAGACAGGGTTAAGTGATTTGCCCAGGGTCACACAGCAAGTGTCTGAAGTGGGATTTGAACTTGGGAACCCAAGTCTTCCTGATTCCAAGCCCAGTGCTCCATCCATTGTGCCACCTAGCTGCCCAGAGTCAGGAAGACACAAGTTCAAATCCCACTTACTAGGGTATACGAACATGGGCAAATCACAAACTCTGAGCCTCAGTTTCCTAATCTATAAGATAGGGATGATAGTAATAGCACTTACTTTGCAGCACCTACAAATGACATAATATTTGTAAAAAGTGATTAGCAAAGTGCCTGGCACATAGTAGGAGCTTATATAAATGCTTATTCTCTTCTCCCCCTTCCATGAGTAGTAATTTAAAAGAATCCAAACCATGATTAAAGTTAAAGAGATCCTAGAAGTCATCAAATCCAACCGCCTCATTTTACAAATAAGGAAACCAAAGCCCAAGGAAGTTTTAAGGGACCTGCCCGAGGTCACAATGACTAATCCTAGCAACTCCCCCAGAAATCAACCACCTTTATCACGAGATATGTTACCAATGACAAGAGGCCAAGTCTAAAGAGTGCTGAACTCAGAATGTTCACAGAATTACAGTTTTCATGAAAATACCCTAAAACGAAGGGCTGGGTTCTCACGATAAGTGACAATTCTTCAAGAGAATTTGATGGGCTTTATTTTAGTTTGTCAGTTTCCCAATGTGATAGGGAAGTATTTTAATTACACGATGATATAGTAATAACTCTAGCTTTATACTGCAAATTATGGTTCACAAAGTGCTCTCCTCAAACTCTGTGGAGAAAGCTGTACAGGCATCGTTACTGCTATTTTACAAATTACAGAATTTTTGAGCTGAAAAGGATTTTAGAGATGATCTAGTCTAGGTGGTCTCAGAAGCCCTGGGGGGAAAGTTTATGAAAAGTTATTACAAGGAGTCCATCTCGTTAGTTAACTCAGCATGAAGGATGGCTAGGTGGTACACTGGCTAGAGCACCAGGCCTGGATTCAGGAAGACCTGAGTTCAAATCTAACTCTTGATACTCACTAGCTGTATGACCCTTGGTCATAACCTGTTTCCCTTAACCCACTAGAAATCCACTTTTCTTGGCCAAGAAAACCCCAAATGGAGTTCAGAAAGAGTTGGACATGACTGAAACAACTGAACATACTAAATTAGCCAATACAATACCTTCTGTGGACTGAATAAACAGAATCTTGCATATACACATATTAGTAATTTTCCAAATGTTGAGACCTCCAAAATCAGCCCCATGTTAGAGGTACTCTGTGGACTGAATTCATTCAAAATCATTACTCATGAGACTTTACCAGTGTTTACTGGTGTAAAAAGTATTTAACAAAAGAGAATAGTAAAAAATACATGTGTGTGCATGTATATAGACAGACTGATAGATACCTTTATACAGCATCCTAGACTTGGGGTAGTAATGAATATATATATGAATCTAATGAATATATATATGAATATATGTGTATACATGGGGGGGGTATGTGTATTCCTACCAAGTCTAGGATACTCTATAAAGGCATCATGGAAGATATGAAATATACCCATTGGCCTATGCCAGTCACCCTGTAGAACTTGTGAGGGAAATGTCTTCTGTAGCATCTGCACTTGGGGCATGCTCAATATTGCCCAGGTTTCTTTGCTATAACAATAGGCACTTACATGTAACGCTTTGAGGTTTGCAAAGCACTTTTCCACAGTTTCATTTGGGCTTCACAACAACCCTGTGACATGAGAACTACAGCTACTATTATCTCTATTTTTCAAATGAGGAAACCTCGAAGCTCACAGAGGTTGACACCACTTGAAAGCTCTACAGACTAGTACTCAAACCCCTCCTAATTTTTTTTTTATTTTTTAAATTTTAGGCAATTGGGATTAGATGACTTGCCCAGGGTCACACAGCTAGTAAGTGTCAAGTGTTTGGTCTGAGGCCGGATTTGAACTCAGGTCCTCCTGAACTCTCTTTCCATCACCCTCCCCTCTGCCTCTGAGTGGTCACTTTCTCTTCAGGGTAGTAATCAAATCCACAGTGGTCTGATTTGTTATCTGCTAACTGCACCAGGACTGCAGGGTTTTATCTTATCCACCTTCATTAAAGAGAAATCAAACGGTGGCAGCTAGGTGGCGCAGCGGATAGAACACCGGGCCTGAAGTCAGGAGGACCTCAGTTCAAATCCGGCCTCAGACCAAACACTTGACACTTACTACTAGCTGTGTGACCCTGGGCAAGTCACTTAACCCCAACTGCCTAATATTAAAAAAAAAAGACCCAATTAAAAAAATCAAACTTCAAAAAGTTCCTTTGTCCCAAATTGCTGATTTTTTCCTAAGGAGGTCAGACTAGAATAACGCACAGCACTAGGGGACTGTGAGAGGTAAGATTCTCATTGACTTCCACCACCAATGTCCCAGCTCTGACGTATCCCCTAAGGGGAACTGATAGTCTCCAGGACAAGAATCCGGGCAGGGCTTAACTAAATGAGAAGAAATGTCCTTACATTTTAAATCAGTTTATGTATATCCTAAGGCCATATATGACCTTCAGGTCTGGGTGTTTTTAACCAACCCAGTTCAGCAAACAAATAAAATGAAATAAAATAAAATAACCCTTCCAGAATTCTTACACTCAAAGGGAGCTCAATTCTAACCCAATTAATCTAGCAGACCTGAATCATTTGGTTACAAAGACAGAAGATGAGCTCTCGTAGAGAAAAACTATACCTTAACTAGAAGCATTTATGGGCCAAAAATCAATAGTGAGCCAGGAGCACATGGCATTATGCAAGGCTGTGCGCAGGCCTCAGAACTAGACTGTTCCATACAATGATGCATCAAGTTAAGAGGAATAGCAACTGGACCAGTCATGGAAATCCTCCATGAAGAATACTCACTCTCAAGGCAGGTTAATGACCCTCTTTGCAATTTATAGTTGGAAGAGGTGCCCACAGCACCTCGAGGCCCCTTGCCCAGGGACCCACAGCCAATACGTGTCTAAGGTGAGGATCTGAACCTGGGTTTTCCCAGCTCTTGAGGTCGGCTCTCTAGGCCTCTCCTACCTCACTCAACCCCAATTTATGTAACACTTTGTTTCCAACTCTCTTATGTACTTACCATCAATTATCCAGTAGTTATTAGCAATACCCCTGAAGCCATAACCTAACTCCCACATCTAGCAGTATTCTGTATACAATGGGTACCTAACGTTCATAGAAATAAGGTCTTCTCTTATAGCTCCCAGCAGACAGGAATGGTCAGAGAGCCAAGAGGAAGAGGCTGTCCCTATCAGATGATTTCAATGCACTTCCTCCTGGACCTCAGTCTCTTCCTTGTTCAAGGCCCAGCTAATGTGCCATCTATAAGAGGGGGCATTTCTTAATTCCACCGCTAACTAGTCAATACTTTCTCACCCCCCTCCTCAACTTATCTTGTGTATCCTTATCTGTTTGCCTGCCACATCCAGTCTAGCAGACCATAAGTCCCTTAAGGACAGGGAACATTAATGAGGGAATGTAACCTATCACATCTAGCACACCGAGAATAATTTTAAAAGGGTTTTAACCTGGCTTACAAACTGATTTGTTTACTTGCTAATCATGTTTCGAATCCCCTCTACTGGTTTATAAAAATAGGGTTCCTCTCCTTAACGACTTCATAAGGATATAGCAGCCCTTTCATTAACTTAGCTGACAAGTTTTCCAGGGGGAGAAAAAAGTTCTATTCTAACTACAAGCAATGTTAAGTAATAATCAAATAATGGAGGCAATTAGGTGGTGCAGTGCACAGAGCGCTGGGCTTGGAATCAGGAAGACTCAGGTTCCAGAGTTCAACTACCACCTCTGACACTTTCTTTGCTAGCTGTTCGATCCTGGGTGAATCACTTCATCCCTGTTTGCTTTGCTTTCTTCATCTGTAAAATGAGCTATAGATAGAAACAGCAAACTACTCCAGTATCTGTCTTTGCCAAGAAAATCCTAAACGGGGTCATGAAGAGTCGGCCACCACTTGATAACAAAGTGTGGCATTAAGAACTGGACTTGGGAGTCAGCAAGATCCGAGTTCAAATCTTACCTCTTATTACCTCATCTGTAATACCAGGTCTGTATATCTGATAATTATACATCTACCTCAGAGTTTCTGTGAGGATGAAATGAGAGAATTTACTTGTACAGCACTTTGCAAACCTTAAACTGCTTTATAAATGCTATTCATACCCTCCCCCCAATACACCTAGTTGAAGGCAAAGGGCTTTTATGCCTCTGCATAAAAGATATTTATAACTTCTATCGTACTGCTTGCCCATCCTGGGGAGAAAAATTTGGAACTCAAAATCTTATAAAAACGAATGTTGAAAACTATCTTTACATGTAACTGGAAAAAATAAAATACTATTTATTCCCCCCAAAAGAAGAAGAGATAATAAAAAAAACATCTAGGGGATATGCAGACTACCGCCCTTGGCAATATGAAATCTGTCAAGGCCAATGAGGCAACTTTTGAAGATAGGACTCGGTGGAGGGAAACAGTAGGCAGCCAAAACTTCGACTCTGATTTGCTAGCAATCCAACAGGAGTGGGGGGACAGGAGGAAGACTCGCATCTCGTGGTTGGGCCAGAATGCAATCCTGGGGAAGAAGGCAGACTTCTGGTCAAACGTCAATCACTGGAAGGGGACCTTCCCTGCGGACTCCGCAGCTCAGCCCAAGGCTCTCCCAAACCCGGGAAGAGCAGGGGTGATGGAGAGGCCGAACAGCACAGGAACGCCCCCCTCCCTTTAAATTTCAATCCAGGACTTTTCCATTTCGTGGCAGCTCAAGATTCTCTCCGTAATGAGCAGTTTAAAGGGGGCAGAGTCCTAGAGACTTGAAGGCGGATAGCCCGGCGGAAAGTAACAAAATCAATACATTTCGCTCCGTATTTAAGGGCCGCAGTGAGGTCAGAAACCCAGCCGGCGGGGGTGAAGAGAATAGCTCTAGCGCGCTTTTTTCGACTAGGTGGGTTTTTTTTGGGGGGGGCCCTCTGTACCCTGTGCTATTGGTTCTAAACACCTGAGGTCACATCTGCAGCTGCTGCAACCCCGTGCCTGCCTCAAGTTTCCTCATCTATACAACAGGGCTCAAAGCAGCACCAACCTCTCAAGGGTTGTTACAAAGATCGAATAGGATATTTTTTGCAAAGCGATTTGCAACACCGTGCGGGGCACACAGTGGGTGTTTAATAAATCAAACGCTTATTCCTCTCCCCCTTCCCCTCGGCCCCCCACTCCAGGCTTCCCAGGTTTTCCCTAGAATCAGGAATAATTATGCAAAACTTACAAAGGCCCAGTGCAAGCCCCAGTAGCAACCAGTTTCGCCCGCGGGTTGGAAAGCAAGCACGTAATAGGCCCCCTGGAGGAGGCGAGGTGACCCCCCCATCCCCCGAATTCCCCCCCCCCGCAAGAGCGCAGGGCCCGAGCGGCTGGGGGCGAGCGTGGCCGGCGGCGGACCCACCCAACGGCCTCCAAGCCGGCCGAAGGGGCAGGTCCTGCCAGCGTAAGCATGCATTTACCTTCCAGGTGCCCAGGCCCACGATGGGCATCTTCGCTTGGTTCCTGAGCACGAGGAAGGTAGCCATGATGATCCGGCCTTGCAGAACACCGGCTCGAAAACAAACTCACTTACTGGCCACCACAACCTCACACTACGACCGTGAGCCCCCAGGCGCTACTTAAATGGGATGAGCGGAGCGAGCGGGGGTCGCTGCCGATTGGTTGGCTGCTGCAGGGAAGGGGATGAGCCGGCTTCTGATTGGTCGAGACGGAGAATTCATCTGCGTGCAGCTGAGGTGGTTGCTGCCTTTCGCCTTGGCTCGGCTTTGGTTTCTGGGCTCCCGAGTTCTCCTGGAGGTAACTCGTGCAAGCCCTGGGGGCCTCCCATAGCTGCACGTATTTGTTTTTAAATTAGTAGGGGGCGCTAAATAAGGGATAAACTGTAATTGGACTCTGCCTCCTTATCAAATTCATCGAGATTAGAGGAAGGGAGTTAAGACCCTGACTCACACAACTCTCTGCGTAACTTTGGGCAGAAGTCCCTGGGCCTCAGGCTCTTCATCTGCAAAATGAGGCTTTAAAAGTTTCTATTGCCTCATCATTTAGTTCTTACTTAGCCCTGTAGGGTGGGCACATAGCATTGTCTCCATTTTACAGATTAGGAAACTGATACCCAGGGGCCGTGACTTGGCCACAGTCACACCGCTAACGCGTATGCCCTTGCGTCAGCACACAGGTACTGATTGATGATTTTCCAAGGACTTTGTAGAGATTTCTGTTTAAGCGCAGATGGAGTATATATGGCCTCCGATATACCTTCCAGCACAGATTTTAGGATGCCCTCATTTATCACGGCATCAGGAGATTTCTAGCACGGGAACTATTGTAATATATCGGACCAAGAAAGGACCTTTACTGTTTTGAGGCATTAAACACCAGTTTTTTCTCAGCTCTAAGAGGAAAAAAAAATGCCCAACCCTCTTCCTTTTTCCCTTTCATTCCTTCCATCCCTCCTCTTTCCTTCCTTTCCTCTTTCTTCCTTCCCCTTCCTCTTTCCTCCCTTCCTTTCCTTCCCTTCCTTTTTCCTTCCCTCTCTCCGTTTTACTTATTCTCTCTTAACTTTCTCTCCTTCCTTCCCCCCTCCCTCTTCCTTCCTTTTCTGCCTCCTTCCTTCCCTCCCTCCTTTTTCCTTCCATTCCTCCCTCTTTCCTTCCTTCTCTCTTTACTTCTTTTCCTCCCTCTTTCTTTTGCTTCCTTTCTTCCCTCTTTCCTTCCCTTCCTTTCTCATTTCTAATTAAAAGAGGCCTTCAAAAATGTAGGTCTATTCCAACTTGTCCTTTAATTTTACAAATGAAGTAACTGAGCATCCAGAAAACTGAAGTGACTTGCTCAACTTCACAGTGTGCCAGATTATAATGTGAGTTTTCCAACAGGTTCCCAGGAGGCAGATAAGTGAAAACATTATTAGTCCTAATTGGTGGATAGGGAAGGTTTAACACAGGGAGGATAAATTCTTATCCCAGGAGCCCAAAGCAAGTCAGTATTAGCAGTGAACTTTTAAGAAAAACCTGTTCATATCCTTTGACCATTTCTCAATTGGGGAATGACTTGTATTCTTATAAATTTGACTCAATTCTCTATGTATTTTAAAAATGAGGCCCTCATCAGAGACACTGGTTGTAAAAATTCTTTCCCAGTTTTCTACTTTCCTTCTAATCTTGGTTGCATTGGCTTTGTTTGTGCAAAAACTTTTCAATTTAATGTAATCAAAATTATCCATTTTGCATTTCATAATGTTTGCTATCCCCTGTTTGGTCATGAATTCTTCTGTTCTCCATTAATCTGAAAGGTAAACTATTCCTTGCTCTCCCAGTTTGCTTACATGATCAGCCTTTATATCTAAATCATGAACCCATTTTGACTCTATTTTGGTATATAGTGTGAGATTTTGGTCTGTGCCTAGTTTCTGCCATACTCTTTTCCAGTTTTCCCAGCAGTTTTTGACAAATAGTGAGTCATTATCCCAGAAGCTGGGGTTTTGGGGTTTATCAAATAATAGATTATTATACTCATTGACTACTTACTGTGTCTTGCATACCTGACCTATTGCACTGATCCACCACTCTGTTTCTTAGCCAGTACCAAGCAGTTTTGATGATTGCTGCTTTACAATACAATTTAAGATCTGGAATGGCTAGGCCACCTTCCCCTGCATTTCTTTTCATTAGTTCCCTTGATATTCTGGACCTTTTTGTTATTCCAAATGAATCTTGCTATTTTTTCCTAACTCTGTAAAATAATTTTTTTGGTAATTTGGTATGGCATCAAATAAATAAATTAGCTTAGGTAGAATAGTCATCTTTATTATATTAGCTCGGCCTACCCATGGGCAATTGATGTTTTTCCAATTATTTAGATCTGACTTTATTTATGTGAAAAGTGTTTTGTAACAGATGAAGAAATTAAATCCATCTGTAGTCATATGAAAAAAATGCTTTAAATCACCATTGATTAGAGAAATGCAAATCAAAACAGCTCTGAGGTACCATATCACACCTATCAGACTGGCCAACATGACAAAACAGGAAAATGATAAATGTTGGAGAAGATGTGGGAAAATTGGAACACTAATGCGTTGTTAGTAGAGTTGTGAAATGATCACACTATTTTGGAGAGCAATTTGGAGCTATGCCCAAAGGGCTATGAAACTGTGACCCAGCAATAGCACTTCTAGGGCTGTATCCCAAAGAGATCATACAAATGGGAAAAGGAACCACATGTACAGAAATATTTGTAGCAGCTCTTTTTGTGGTGGCAAAGAATTGGAAATTGAGAGGATGCCCATCAGTTGGGGAATGACTGAATAAATTGTGGCATATGAATGTAATGGAATACTATTGTGCTGTAAGAAATGATGAACAGGCAGACTTCAGAAAAACCTGGACCAGGAGAATGTTGTGCACAGTTACAGCCGTGTTGTTCTATGACTAATATTGGTAAACCTAACCCTTCTCAGCAATAGAAGGATCTAAGACATCTCCAAAGGCCTCATGATGGAAAATGCTGTCTACATCCAGAGAAAGAACTATGGAGTTTGAATGCAGATCGTAGCATACTGTTTGCCCTTTTTTTCCTTCTGTTGGGTTTTGTTTCCTCTTTCTGGTGGTTGATGATACCCCTATTGGTTTTAATTCTTCCTTACAACATGACTAATGTGAAAATACGTTTAATAGGAATGTATACGTATAGCCTATATCAGATTGTGCGCCATCTTGGGGGAGGGAGAAAAATTTAAAACTCAAAAGCTTATGGAAGTGATTGTTGATAAATCAAAATAAATTAAAAAAAAAAGAAAAAGAAAACCCTGCAAATCTTTTCAGTGACCTCCTCCCCACCCCCACCCCCAACTCTATCTTCTCTGTTACCTTCTACTCAGTCCCCTAATTATGAAAAATCAGGCACTTGTTCTGCCACTAACCTTCCAGGAAGTGTCCCTCCCCAAGCTGCATTCTAGTGATTTTCCACTTTATGAGAAAAATACTCTGAAAAGTAGCAGCGATTCTCTGGATGTTTGGCTTACTGATTTCTTAATCATATGTGTTGCCTCTAGGTACATTTATGCTCATTTACCCCAAATAATGGATATTATGACTAATTATGATAGCTGGCATTTATGTAGCACTTTAAGGTCCTCACAACAACCCTAAGGGGTAGGTATTAGTATTATCCCCATTTTACAGATGAAGAAACTGAGGAACAGAGAAGTTAAGGTGATTTGCCCAGGGTCACACAGCTAATTGTCTGAGGCAGGATTCAAAGCTAAGTCTTCTTGATTCCAATTCCAGCATGCTAACTACTGAGCCACCAGCATCTGAGTCTGAAATAGAAAACAAGGCCTGTGGCAAAAAAAAAAAAAAAAGGAAAAACAGCCTCAGAACTGCTGAGCAGAAGGACTTCTTTGTGTATAGTTAGTTTACCTATATGTTTGTACTTCAACTTGGATTTCAGGCCTCAGTCACATACAGGAAAGATGTGGTCTTATGTACGGAGGATAAGTAAATACACAATCCAAATTTCAGGCACTAAATTAAGGGGGTATCAACAACATCTCAGGTTGCCAGGTTACCTTGCAGCTACATGGAGCTGAGTTCTGTGAGAGGTGAATACTCCACCCCTTGTGACTTCGGGGCTCACTTTCATGAGCTGTGGTTAGCTCTTTACTGGGTGGCCACCCAGGTGAATGACCTCAGGACAGACACTTAGCTTGGCTGGTTCTCAGAGGACAGATCCACCTGGAGTCTGTTGTTAGACCCAGATGCAAAAAGTCTTTCGAGCCTTTGAGAATCTCCATGCCATGGTAAGGCTTTAGAGTAGGACTGGAGGAGGAATCATTTAATCAGTGAAAAATACAAGGAAATTAGATTTTTCTGTCATCCAGGGATAGGGACCAGGCCTGTATGAGGCACTACCATTGAGGAGATTCCTTCTATCATCCAGATCAACACTTTCTTTACAAGTTATCATTGCCTTTGACAGTCACCTAGAACACATTGGAACCTTAGGGACGTGTGAATTGACCACTGTCAAACTGGTGTAAGTTTTCTTGGTTTCCCTTGAAAAACATGTTGTCCACCTATTTTTTTCCTTCCAAAGTTAAGTCCATCAAAGTCCAATACATCATTTCAGGGTTTTTTTGGCTTGGTTTTCTTGGTTGAAATACAACAATGACTTGCCCAGGGTGGAACAGGGCTTGAATCCAAGGCTTCCAGGCTCCAAGGTCTTATATAAGGAGGATAGAAAGCTATCCACCACCCCACACTGCCTCTCAGATAGAGTTAGTATATTAATGGCAAAGGTTTCTAGTAACTAAAAATGAATATCGAAAGAGAAACCAGGGAGCAAAAATTGTTCAGTGTTTTTCCATTGCCATCCACCAATTGACTAAGACAACTCAGACAACTGGATAGATTTGATTAAATACAAAGTTACATACCATGTATTGTAAAAGAGCAACCTAGGAGACAATAGCTGCTAGGAAATAAAATTATAGATGGGGAAACTGCTCTTATTATGTGCTTGCAAAAGAAATGGAGTTGGGTTTTGTTAAGGGATATTGAAGATGACCCAAGGGTCAATGAACAGATTCAGTGTGGGAGTAAGGAAACTGAGAAATGA